TAGAGGACAGCAGTGGGAAAGACTGTGTACTACTCAATGAGTCAGCACATAAAGAGAAGTGTCATTCTGTAAGCTGAAAACAGCAGCCCCTGTGGCTAACAAATGTTCATAAAGGATGCAAACATAGAGGCTGGAGCTAGAACTTGCTGATCTTGCAGAGGATCCAGGTTCAACTCCCGGCATTCACACGGTGTCTGACATGTCTGTCACTCCAGTTCCAGGGAATCTGTGACCCTCGGGCACAGGTGGTACACATACATACATGCAGGCCAAAAATTCATACACTAAAATCTAATAAATTAAAATAAAATACATAACTCACTATTACATTATTTATTATAGAAGAATTTTCATTCAAGTTTGTTTACTTTAGCATTATTAATGTTGCATATTCAGACCACATTTAAATTTTTCTGGTAAATATTTAGTAGAGTCCTATACAATGCCAGTGCTAGCCATCTCAGTGAAAGAATGCAGGGCACCTTTTTCTTTAAATTACCCTTGAGCCCATCACACCTCTTTTCCTTTTGACTTCAGGACTGATCAGGTCTCCTTGACTGAAAGTCAGAAACAGCAGCTAGCTTTTAGCGGGGTGCATGTTGAATAAAATATCGGAATATTTAAGAATTTTTTCATACAATATATTTTAATCATATTCTGTTCCTTTCCGAACTCCTCCCAAATCACCCAATTTTCAACTTAATACTGTTTCTTCCTCTTGTTCTCCCTTAAAAAAAAAAAAAAAAAGGCAAGAAACCCAAAAAGTGAAAACCAAAACAAACAACAGCAACAAAACAAAAATACTAATACAAAAGTACCAAAACAAAAAGCCCTCAAAATACCATAATGTCACTTACACTGCTTTAGAAGTGGTGGGACCTGGCAGATGGGAGCGGAAACATGAGGCAGATTCAAGTCTCAAACAATAGACAACTTTATCCAGAGCCTCTGACGCTTTGTATGCTGAGGTCTAGGAAAGTTCACATAGTAACGCTCTCATGCCTTTATGCTGTATGCAATCATGACAAGATGCAAGTAACGAAAACAAGTTTTTCCATAGAGGCCTTGAAACATTTAATTGAATAACAACAAGCAATAATGAGTACTTGGAAGTAAATGCACTCCTACCAAGAATAATTCCATGTTTTTGAAGAACCTGAGGTCTGAAGCTCTCATTTTGCTTTCTTGGGGGTGTTTTCCCAGGCACTCAGAATTCTCCTCACAGGACTCCATGCCTGGACTGTGTTCTGACAACCATAATAGCTATTTTGTGTTGTCCAACTACTATTGCACACGAGACCTGCCCCCAAAGTGTAGCTGATGTACTTACTCAGTGACATTCCACTGGAGAAAATTGATTTTCCCTTTCTCAGCAGGCATTAATTGCTAGTAGCTTCTTCTTGGTTAAGGGTGAGACTCTGTATCCTCCTCCCCTTCTCAGGGTTGGGACTTTCTGAACCTGTGCAGGTATTGTATGTGCTATCACAGTGTCTGTGAGTTCATATGCATATTGGTCCTGTTGTGTCTGGAAGATGCTTTTCCCTTGAAGTCACCCATCACCTCTGACTTCTTAGTCTTTCTGCCCTCTCTTCTGCATAGATCCCTGATTCATGAGGGTTGTGGTTTAATTACCACATTTCCTTTAGGATCGAGTGCTCTGCACATTTTCCAGCTGTGGGTCTCTGTCTTAATTACTGTCCACTGAAAGAAGCAGCTCCTTGATGAGGACTGAGTGATGCCCTTACCAAAGAATATAGCAATGTGTCATTAGGAGTTACTATTAGGAGTTATTGTCCCCTTATCACAATAGAAGTGATAGGCTTTTCCTTTGTGCCCATGGCTTCTCTAGTCTCAAGTTCTTGATCACTTCAGTAGTACCAGGTATAGATTTCATCTTATGGAGTGGGAGTTAAAAACAATCAAAGAGTGGTTACTCCCATAACTCCTGATTCTTTCTCTACTTGCCCACTAGCCTGCTGGGATCCAGATCTCAGTTCTTGATGTAGTTCTCTGTGTCTTCATTCAAACATGTAGGCCTTCTACCTTCTCTATTTTCCTCTACCTTTGGACAGGATCAACAGAACAGGGGGAAAAAAAATCAAAGATTTGAACGCTATAATGACCAAGGCAAGAATGACGTTAGGGACTCTAGGATACATTATACTCTGAGTAAAGTAGGAGGAACAGACACAGTAGCCAACAGATTGGCCTAGTGTCTTATGGTTTGAGAAGAAGAAGAAGTGGTTTGGAGGGGCAGGGGATAGAGGAGTCCTCAGGGGAGATGGGACTGCACAGGAGCTCGAAGGGTTGCCAGGTGAATGGAGAAGGAACTTGTTCCTGAGAGCATAACACTTGGAAAGACAATGAACACAGAACAGGAGGCTGTGTTTAGGAGTCTGTCCTAACTTCAATTGGCCACAGCTGGAGGTCTTTTTAGGGCTACAGAAATGCAGGGGAAGGCCCAAGTTGGTGCCAGATCACCAACACCTGTGCAAACCATACTGAGGAGTCTGACCTGAATGGAGCATCATCCGACTGCTATAGCCTCCCATCTTCCCTGGCGTTCATGTCCATACTATTTCTCCTGTAGTCTCTCCAGTGCTCTTCCTCTCCCCTGTTGGAGATTGTCAGCCCCGACAATGGAATGCTCATACTGACAGCAGATGGCCACTCTGCAGTGGGAAGAGAGGTGCCAGGCTCCCTGGGCTCACCGTGGAATCTCAGTGTACTCAAAAATGAGTGTTAAGAACAAGCTGCTTCCTTTCTCTGGCTTTCGTCTCCTCATGTACCAACTACAGAAATAACGACAGTCCCTCCAAGGGATTTGTGAGTTAAGTGAATTGCACAGGAAAAATCCTTACACTATCGTCTTGGCACACACTCCAGAAGAAGGGTTATCATGTTTTCTTTGAGGCCTTCAGGTATGGATCTGTGGCAAATCCAATGGAGTAGCATGATCAATCTGCCTGCCCGGGTATGGTGCCATCACTCAACCAATGACAAAGCTTCATATCAACCACAGGACCACACCCTCTAACTCTGAAACTCTGCTGCCGCCTTTATTCTCTGCAATGGTAAAACCAGTATTTAGACTGCACTGGCCTTGCAAGTGTGAGCAAACTTTCAATCTGGCCCAAGTCTGCACACTGCACATGAGGGGACAAAAGAAAGCAGAACAACAAAGTGGAATGAACTCAGCTTCTGGTTTGGGTTAGGACTCCCCATGGCCCCGCATGCGGTTCTCCAAATATCCAATTTATGACTCTGTCACTTACACTCCTGGGGAGTGCCTCATGAGTTGCAATTACCATTTGTGATTAACTTTCTACAGTGCTTGTGCCAGCACCATGCCTACCTGAGCAATTCATGAGTATTTCAGGAGAAGCTGCAGTGATCTTCCCCAACACACAGAACAGTTTCAACATAATTAGCAGCATTTCTGGATCAACACAGCACTCTCATAAGGTGTCTGATGGAGGAAATGAATGACTCTAATTATAACTTATTAAATTTTATTAATCCTCATTAGAACCCTATTATTCTTTATAAGTGGGTTATTGAGAAGGGAATAAAAGCAAGCAAGCAATGCTGGTCAAGTTCCGTTACGCTGAAATGAGCACTGGGTGATTTCCCCACACTTCAGTAGCAGCGCACAGGACACAGACTGGCTAAAGTGAATGAATGTGATCTTTTCAAGTCTGAACTCAAGGAGCTCAGGCTTTCCATCTGCTATCAGCTTAATTATAAAGAGGAGACAGTTCATTATCTCCTGGAGTGCATGGTTCTCTTGACCTTCACTTCTGCTGAATTCCTGCTTTTCGGTGTGCAGCTGGGAGAGTTGAGAGGGCAAAGGTGGTCAGCGGTTTGAACCCAGAAGTGTTTGAATTTGAAGACCGTAGGAGAGGTGTTGTTCAATAAACGTTAAGCACAAGAATATGTACTTTAACACTTACTTGATTAATTCTTAGTCAAAAAGTCTCACCAAAATCTAACCTGTAAAGGGCCATTTGAGCCCCATGGTTCTTGGTGTACTTTGTATGTGCATGACTGGGTTAGGCTGCCGGAGGTCAGGGCCCCCAGGGTGGGTGGAAGGTGGCTTGAGAGTGGGAGACTTTAGTTGCCTGCTCAGAGAGTGGTGTCATTCGGGTCACTTTACCGTATTTATCCTATCCAACCCACCAGAGATGGTAGCAGTGGGTGGGAAAGCCATTAGGGTGAGCTGAGGTTGCTGTTAGTGTGGGTTGAAGTAAGGCATTTCTTTTGTGTAGGGACTGGATAGAAACACAAAAGGAGCAAATCAGATTGTTTTGTTTGTGACAGGGTCCACATAGATCTATCTACCTCCCTTGTGCTGTGATTAGAAGCCTTCAATATTGCGGGCTAGAGGGCCTACAAGTACCTCCTAGTCCATGTCTTAATGTAGTAAATGGGGTTCCCATCTTTGCTCACTTTTTCAAGTTTCAGAGAAAAAAAAAAAGATCCAACCCCAACCTTCCAGGAACAGGCAGGTCTTTCTTCAAACCAGTTCACCCAGTTCGTGTATTTTCTTTTAACCTGTAAGAACTGAGCAAGCTCTCTGGTTTTCCGCCAGGGCAGGATTGGGAAGCAAATCTTAAACTCCAAAGGTTCATTTCTTTGAACAAAGGACAGGAAGTGGCCCTGATTGCCATTGTTACTCAAGGCTTGTCAACCACAACCTTCCAGGAACTGGGGCTAGTCACTTCAGTGGGTGGTCGAGTCATCTGCCCCTGTCTAACCTGATTCTGAGCTTACAGCACCTAGCTTGGGTCCTGCCTGGAGGCGGGAACCCAGCTGTGAGTAGAGTATCAGATCTGTTCCTAGATCTGCGCAGTGTCGGGCTGGGTTAGGTCCCAGCTCCTGAGTGCTTAGGCGCTCTCACGTGTGAAGCGAACCGAAGTTGCCCTCTACCACCCCGTAGTTCTGGGTCCTACTGAAGTTCTGGGCGGGGCTCCGACGAGGCTCTTGGGGTGGGGGGAGTGGGGATGGGGAGGTGTTCCAAGGCAGGGGCTCCTAGCTCAAGCTCAACCTTCCAATTTGTAGCCTGCAGAGCGGACCCGAGTGGGCCGGTTTCTCGACTTCCTCCTGTATCTCCTTCCTCTTCCTCCGGTGGAGGCAGATCCCTCATTCCCTTCCTCTTCCCATGCTCCCTGCACCCCCGCGTCCCCTCCTCCAGGAAGTGCACTGCCCAGGGTCGCCCACCTCGAGCGGGCGCTGGCCGCCGCGCCCCCTCCCCGCCCGGCTACTGCAGCGGCCCCGCGGGCACACGCCTCCCCATACCTTACATGGACAAATGCGTGCAGGCAAAGTCAGGAATTCAGGCCCCTGACGTCAGCCTCCAGCGCTCAGGGCACCGCACGGGAGACCGCGGGAAGGGGGGTGGGGAGGAAGGAGGGGGAGAGCACCAACCAGCAGCCGCTCCCGGCCTGCCGAAGTTTCACTTTTTGTCTGTGGGTTCGCTCCCGGGCCCCGCTCCCAGCTTTCCCGGGATAAGTAGCGTTAGCGGCGGGAAGAGCCGGCCGCTGCAAGGTAAGGGCCAGCAGCGGGGACCGGGCACGGGGAGGGCGCGGGCCGGGCGGAGCGGGCCGCGGGCCGGGACAATGGGAGGGGGGAGTGCCCGGCACCTCCTCCTCCGCCCGAGCCTCCGCCTCCAGCCGTCGCGGCCGCCGCTGCCCCGTCCGCCTCCTCCCCCAGGTATAGTAGCGAAAGCTTCCTCCCGCAGCCTCGGCCGGCGGGCGCCGCTCGAACCCCCGATCCCCCCCTGGGGCGGGCCGCTGCGGTGGCGGGAGCGCGGGTCCGCCCTGCTCGCCGCGGAAGTGCGGGCTCCGGGGCCGGGAAGCGGGGCGCGCGGCGTGGGGGAGGGGAGGGGTTGCGCGCGTCCTCCGCGAGCGCCCCCGGCCCGGGCTTTTCTGGGTGCCCAGGGGGCGGGGCCGCGCCCGTCTGCTTCGAGCTTTCGCGGAATCCCAGTTGTGACAGCGGAAAGGGCCTAGGGACCCGGTGACTCGAGAGTCTTCCCATTTTACAGCCGGGGCTGGCGAGGCACCGAGAGGCGGGCTTTCCTGGAAGTCATTCCTGGAAGGTGGAGCCCTGGTTTAGACTCGTGGCTCAGGACCCCTGCCGCCTTTTTCTGTGAGCGCTTTTGGAGTTCCCCACTGTTTTCAAGCACTGTAGGTTACTCGAGGCCAGACTTTGCCCTCAGGGGGAGCTCACTGGGACGCAGGAGCCAAACCTGGCCCAAAGTAGGAAGGACCAAATACTGGGGGTGGGGGGGTGGGGGGGAGGACGCGAAGCTCAGTATTTTTTAGGGGGGGTTCTCGGAAAGGAGCTTCATATTTCGGTCTCCATGAAGGGATCAGCAATGGTCCTGGAGGGTGTGTTTGTGTTTGTGTGTGTGTGTGTGTCTGTGATTGACTGTTTTGAAGAATGGGGACTTTTCTCAAGTAAGAAAGGCAAGGCCTTCCTTGTCAGGGAGGCAACTGCAGACCAGAGAAAGCTAAATAAGGTTGGGGAGTGGACACTGTGTTGGTTCCTTGGGGTGGGAGTATGACGGGAGACAATACCAGGAGACTTGAGGCTTGGGTACTTGGACGGGACAGTGTAAAATGTCTCGGGCCTCTTTTCTGTTTAGGAAGGGGTCCACTGCTTCCCCTCCCCCACACGGAAGGCCTAGCAAGACCTCACCACGGATCCTTTCTGTGACTTTCTCAACAGACTCTTCATCGTTTTCTGTACTCCCTACCCATTTGCAAGCTTGCCTCTGTAATAAAACTTTCTCTCCAAGATGTTATTGACTTAATGGTTCACTGCTTCCCCCACAAGCAAGTTTTCAGAGAACCTTTAGAGGAAGAGAGGCAAAAGTGTGTAGGGCTGCTGCAGGATAAGTTAACCTCGCCCTGACCACTTTTCTCATTTTTACAAATAGGGAAACAAACCCACATCCACAGACATTGAGTGCCAGCCCTGTGGTCTCTGGTAGATAATGGTGGATTGAGGTGGTGGTGTACAGAAACCCAATAAGATTCTTACTATCCCAAGAGTCTCCTGGTGAGGCTCTTGCCAGCACCAAGGGGGCATTTAAAGAGGAAATTATGTATCTTGCATTTAATCTTTGGAAAGCAGCCTGTGGAGTCCAGAATGCTGTCTCATGAGGATTAGCTGTATGAAGGGTAGGGGGACATGCCAGGAGTCCTGAGGCCTGGACAGTGTCTTGTCTTGCTTCTCCTGACCCCCTCCCAATTCCATGTAAGTAGCTCTGGCCTGGAGTTTGGTTTAGGCAGTGGGAGGGGGAGCCTGGTTTTGAATTGATATTATGGCTGGGATTGAGGGACATTCTGACAAGGAGGACATTCCTCCGAGAGGGTAGACATTTCCAGATAGTGGTAGGTAGGAGGAGAGACTTGATTTCGAAAGACTTTAGGAATGCCAGGCCATATGACTTTTGAGGGTTTTAAGCAGGCAGGAACATGATTGAGAGATTGGCATTGAGAAGTCTTTTGCTGCCCAGTTTCAGGGAGAGAGGTGGTAATTTGGCTTAAGAAAATGATCATGGGTTGTTCCATTTGCTTGGCATGTGTTGCTGAACACTTTTATGCACCACTGTCAAATATGGAAATTGTATGGCAGGTTTTTATTTTTATTAAGCTCTCAACTATACCTTTTTATGTTTTTATACATAAAAATGTATTGTCTTTTAATCACAGATGTGCTCTAGTTGAACAGGATTTTATTCTAGAGTTGATAGTGATACACATCCTACAGTCACTGTTTTAAATTTGATAAACTTTGGTTGCCAAGTCCTTTATAAATATATATTACTTTTGTATTTCTTAAAAAATACTTCTCCATCAAATATTCTATGGGAATTTCTTGAGAAGTAAGCATGGCGACAGGCCCATCTCCATTTTAACCCGTTATCTGAGGTTCAGAGCTAATGAGAGGTGTACATAAAACTGTTAATTTCCGACTTGGGGTTCGTGGTGGGAACGTATAACATTACCCCCGCTGTGGAGTTAGTTAATTGGTGCTGGAGCAGAGGTAGGTTAGCTTTGATTTCAGAATATGTTTTATGCTGCTGGGGTGATGGGGCCAGGTAAACCAAGGACAGTATATAAACCTGTAAGGTCTGGAAATCAACTGCAGGCTAACTTGGTAAAGCAGAGGCAGGGGAAGCAGGAAGGAGACCCAGTGTGGAAAGCATGCTTGAGGCCCGTTCCCCATAGACCAGAGAGATACTGGATGGGCTGCTGGAGTCGAAGTTGAGGAGGCCATCCTTCCTGTGTTGGAGGAGCACCAGGTGTGTGTGACTGTGGGGAAGCATGGAGGGTGTGGTCGGTGTTTTTGCTGCTCAGGCTGGAAATGATCAGGACTGGGAAGTAAACCGCCATTGATGGGTACTGCATGAACTGAATGTCCAGGGCTGAGAAAGAGAAATGTAGGTTGGGGAAGGAAGGAGTGAGCCTGAGCTACTAGACAAAGGAGCCACTGTGCAGGTGCAGGGAACAGGGCGGTTTATTACGGCTGTGTTTTGAAGGGTCAGCATGTTTGTGTAGGTTAGAGAACAAGTTTGTGCAATCTGTTGGGTTCCAGAAACTCAAGCACCATGTTTGTACTGCAAGTGTCTTTGCCTACTGAGCCCTTGAAAGAGAGGACTGATTTTTTTTTTTTTTTTTTGTAAAGTATAGTTTATATTTGTCTTGCAGCTGTGGGGGCCATTAATCAATCCTATCGAGGGTTGTGATTCATAGGAGAACAAGGCTGGGCAGGGCCTCTGGAAGCTTCTGTGGGACTGAGTGTATGATGTTGAGGCAGAAGGCACAAGAACACTTTTCATAAGTGGATGAGTGAACTTGAGACTTTGACCCAGCACAGTAAGGAGGCCTCAGAGCTGGATGTGTGCATTGGTGGGTGGGGACGTTTCCTGGAATATGGCTTTGGAATGCGGTGCTTTCCCTAAACTCACTGGAGGCGAGGAAAGGGGGAGAGAAAGTGGTTGTTGCTGCTACAGTGTGAAGGTAGAACCTGGATAGAAATCTGTTGGCCTGAAAGTACATATGAAACATAGAACCTGAGGGTGAGCCGGTGAGGGGCAGCGGGAAGTTTGTTGTGGGAGTTTGCTGTAGCTGCCTCAAGGCTTGGAGTGTACCTGATAATAGGTCACAGGAGTGAGATTGGTCACTAGCTAAGGGCTAAAGGCAGTAAGGCTTAGACGACAGCCATAAAGCTGAGGCTAGAGAATGTTTATCTTCCTCTCCTTTCTAGGTAGCAATATAATTTAAAAGTTTTGAAAGCTTTTGATACACTCATGTAATTACCACATTGATTCCCTAAGATTTATGATTGCTGTGGCTTGGGTGTGGTTTGTCCCTCGAGGACTTGTGTGTTGAAGGCTTGGTTCCCAAGTATGTACAGCATTGTGGGACTTTTAGAGGTGAGGCCTATTGGGTTGTTCTTTGGATGATTAAGGGAGTGTCTCTCTTTGAAACCTAACACGAAGAAGTAGTTACGGAAAAGTGAGCCTGACTCCTGATTGGCTCTTTGTTTTCCTGTTGGGTGAAGTGAGTTTTCTCCCTTGGACACTCCCATTATTTTGGTGCCATCCTCCCGGCCATCGCCAGAGCAGAGGTGATACTGGTGATGTGCCTTCTAGGAACGCTGACTAGGTAAGCCTCCTTTCTTCCCGGTTTCAGGTTTTAGGTTATAGGGACTACCATTGGCCCAATGTGAAGACAGTCAGTCTCATTTTACAGATGAGGAAATGAGTGTGGCCAAATGAGGTTGCACAGTTGAGTGGCATGGTTAGTTCTAAGCACTTGCCCGGTCTGTGGCATCTTCACTGGATGGTATTGTCTGTGTTCACAATCAAGAAAGCTAGAGATCCATAGTGTTTTCAGTGCACTAGCACTGGGCCTTGGGTTTGTGCCCATGGATGAACCTGGACAAGTGGGCTTCTTGGTTCCTTCTCAGTCTGTTAGCACATTGCCATGCCTTGTAGCAGGCCAGATTGTGGGAAAATGGAGCCAGCAGGTTAATGCCCCTTTCAGTTAGCCTCCCCAACCCATGGCATCCTGGGTATACTCTGGTGGTACATTGTATCCTTTCTGTTGGTTCTTGGTCTTCCATAGGCTAAGATCCTTTAGAAGTAGTCCTGGTTCTTGACTGACAGGGATCAGCTATGCTGCCATCTGCAACCTTGCAGGTGCACAGTTTGTGTTTTATGACTCAGAGATAAAAAGTCCTATCTTGCTTAGATTTCCTGGAGCTGTGATAAAATATGCCATATGAGAGAAACGTAAGGAAGTGTTTGGTTGGGGATCACAGTTTGAGGATTAGGTCCATCACCGTGGTGAAGTCACCCAAAGTGACAGGAACTCGAGGCAGCTGTTTACATTGCATCCACATTCAATAAGCAGTAAGAGAGGTGAATGCCTTTGTTTGGCTGGCTTTCTCCAGTTTGTTCAGTCTTGGGTTCCGGCGCATTGAATGGTACCACCAATTTGGGTGGGTTAGTTTCCCATCTCACTTAACCTGAT